GAGTAGATTATTATTGCACAGTAAGAGGCTACCACTCCTTTTCCTTCTGTCCTCTTTACTCTATTTAAAGGAACAGTGCAGGAGGAAGAAATGCACTGACGAGATTTCAAGATCAGAATGAGAAGCGAGTTAGGAGGTTGAGAGAATGAGTCACAGAGGCAGGGTAGAAAACGGAGGGAAGCAGGGAGTGGTGTGATGAGTATACGGATGTGAGTGTTCTCGTGTATGTTTAATACGTACATGTACTTGTAGAAGGAGGATACAGTTAAATCGCCAAGGGCTCCTCCAGCACTACATGTGGTTTTCAATTTCTAATTTAAGCCTTTATCAACCCACAGCTTTTCCTTCTGCCACTTACCAGTATGGACGCTTTGACATACTGCATTTGCCTCATGCACTGGTGTAATTACAGTTGAATAATGTGCTAGAGTTAAAAGATGAATCAGTCTGTGAAAACGTTCTGTGAATGAATTTTATGTAACGCGCTGCTCTCGGATGTCGTAGGCGAGACTGCTCTGTGGGCTGGAAGTCAGAGGGTCTTGTCTACTGTATGTGTTTGTGCACTGAAAGTAAACGAATGGGATTATATTGATCTGAGCAGAGCGCAGTGTGGCTGCCCAGACAGACCCAGGTGGTAACAGCTACGCTCCATTTACCTCTGTGTTTTACCGTCAGCTCCGATTTGCTACGATCAGCTCGCCACCCGTTTCGAACGAGCGTGACGATCTGTCTGAAACAGCTGTGACCCTCAGTGGTTGTTAATGACGCTATGAATAGTTTGCAACTTGTCAATAGATACAGAGCTCAGTAGAGGAGAAAACAAGGCATAAGAGAGAGAGGGGAACAGGTATAGACAGGCTAAGTGCTGTGTCATTGTGTCTCTGGGTATCAAAGAAGGAAAAACACGTCTGTCATTAGCCGCACACGGATTCACAAGAGACTTAAAGCCCTGACACAGAAGACTTGTGTACCGTATGTAAATGCCCGGTTACTTGTATGTGTGTGCTTGTTTTTGTCTCCTTTGTGTGGGCATGGTGGCCTAACGATATGACTAACACACTCTCCACTGTGAGTTACAACAGCGCTGTGACAGAATGAAGCTGAAGCATAGACTGATCCGTCCCCTTTTATGTGCAGAGATGTGCATCTCATTAGAAGATGGGATCCTTGTGGATATTAAGGGAATGACGGAAGAAGCAGCATTTTGTGGGGTGAAGTTTGTTGATGCAGGCTGACGGGGAGGAGAGAGTAGTAGTGGTAATGGGGGTCGTCTTGGACAGTGGGTCTCTGTGGACAGAGCAACTGAGCTTAGCTGGAGATGCTATCTGTCACATACACTGACAATGTGCAGTCGGAACCACTTGTCACTGCCATGCACAGTGCTATTATGTGGCCAGGCTGACATGTCCTGGTACAGTAGGTCTTTGTTAGTGTTAGAGAGGAGAGAAAGGGTGGTAGTCCAGACAGACAGTGAGGATGGAGTTTAAGAGCTCAGAGTCAGTGACACAGGGAGGGACAACCAGTAAGATCATATTCAAAAGAAGACGAGCTACAAAGACAAGATGGGTCACTTGATTTGTTTTAAAATTCTTCTATTAAAATAATAAATGCTTGCGTGCAATGAAGTTTTGTTCTAATCAGAATTTTATTATATCTTCTCGTGTTTCCTCCTTCCTTTTCCAAATCTTCCCCTCCCTCTTTTCTTCCCTCTGCACTTCTCCCCCCGCAGAGGACGAGCAGGTTGTCAGGATGAAGGAGGAGAATTTGTTCCATCGGAGGTTTTCTCTGTGCCCCAATGCCACCTCCCCACCCAAAATTGACCCCCGCGCCCTCACCCGGAACCTGTCTTACGGAGGAGACGATGACCTCTACAACCTCAGCCCAGGTAAAAGGCCAAGAGGTCGAAGCTGACAAATGAAAAGTGAATATGACAAAGTACAATATTTAAGTGACATGTGTTCTGTGAAATGATGGCATACCGTGCTGTACTGTACTTATTCTATACAAATCGAACCTCAGCTGCTGCTTATGAGCTGCTTTTGGGGCTGCCGTGCTTTAATTGTCTGTCAGCTATTTATTTTTTATCATTTGTATGTGACTGTGTGTTGTGGGTTCCCACCAGGCAGTGAGACAGACAGGAACGGTCTCTCCATGCTGAGTAATGAACTTAGTCCTGCCCAATCACCAGGCAGCAAGGTAAGAACACAGTTCCTGATTGGGCAGCTCCTCCACAGTTCACTCTGACACATTCAGTGAGCCGCTTGCCTTTTGTATTCTGTGACGATTTCTTTTCTTCTGATTGCTTGCAATATTAGCAACCTCAAACATCCGGATTTTACAGTAGACAAACCTACAATTGTTGAGCCCTTGTTTTTAGAGGAAGTCAAGTAATATCAGGGCATTTTACAGATGTGTCATGAAAAATGCGAGATTGTGATTTACACCTTGTTTCAAACATTCAGTTCAGCTTTTAGGTAAAGTCACCAATGTAGTAAAGTCATATAAAAGCTGTGGGATTTTTATATGTCAGTGCCATGGTGGGAACTGTGTCTTAGCACTACAAGCCATTTATTTGGCAACCCAGACCTTTTGCAGTCCTGGTGCTGTATTAGTCCAAACAATCTGTCTCCATTCTTCATTAATACTAATTAGGATTGATAAGTAAATGTCTCCAATGGCAACCGGGTAAACTCATCTTGTCTCGTCTTCTCTTGTTGCTGTGCCTCGCCTCGCAATATTGCCTATTTATGTGTGGAATAATTCACAGGCGCAGCTGCATCCCTGGCCTTTTGCCCTTTCTTCTATCCCGAAAGCCCTTATGAGACAAAAGGAGTCTGAGCACAGCCTTCTCCTTGCATGCACAGGGTTGTAATAGTGTAGTTCGCTTTAAGAAGGGCTTCTTTTCACAAAAATAGATAAGACTAAAAACTTGTGTGGGCTCACCAAATAATATTGTGAGTCATATTGGTTTAGTGCATACAGAAGAAGTGGTTATGTAATTACATACCGCAGCATAAATTACCACTGAGACTCTAATCTCTACCTACTGATCAGAGGAGACCATCAAACAGTCCGTGCCCTTTGCTGTCTAACCGAGGAAGCTTGTGGTTTGTGGTCACAACGCTAGAACTGACTGCCTGCAAAGTTGCCTTCCTGATTGAAAGGGCCAGCAACCTGCTTCATACACATTTGTGGCATATGTGCTACGTGGCAAAGGGAGCATTTAAACAGTGTGGTGTTCATAATGCAAGCAAGTCAAGTTGGGTAACTCCTGTGGCAGTGCATCACAAGAGTTTACTGTGTTGTTTGTTTAATATGGCTGCATTATTATCTTCTAAAATATGAACTTAAAAGTTTATTTAAAATGCTGTTATGATTGTTAATCATAGATTATAAATCTAGATTTGATGAGAAATGGAACAATTTTTTTAGTAGTTTCACAATTTTGGACTAATTTAAACTTTTACAAGCTAATATTTTACAGTCGGTTCATTTTTATAAACTAAACTCTCTACAGAAGTTGTAATAGTAATTATAACAATGTTTTTATCTTTAGTTTAAATCTCCCTCCTCTTCATCCTCACTGACTCCCTCCCTTCCTCTTCCAGTCTGAGTCCAGGATGTTCAATGGTGTTGAGAAGGAGTGTCCCTCCCCCACAGAAAAGCTGGCTCGGAAGGAGTCTCTCAAGGTATCACCTGCATCACCAGTATTCAGTATTCAGCGTTATTATGCAATTGGATTCATCATAAATAATTCATATAAATAATACATAATTGTAGCATCCCAGTATCTCTGTTAGTCTAAACATAGACGAGCCGTTTTTTAACCTTTTGAAATGTATTTTAATTATCTTTTAGATGTACAGCCTTTTCAATGTTTTCAATTATAAACAATAAATCATGTGAATGATAACCAAAGACAACAGGTAACAGCATGATTGCAAACATATGTTTGACTCTGCTTCCACCTAGTGTTTGTGCTCTCAGATCAGTCGTCTGACCAGCAAGAGTGATGACTCATTCGTGTGTCCTGTGTTTTTTTCACAGGTCCAAAAGCAGAATTACAGGCAAGAAAAAAAACGGGCAGCTAAAGAACTGTTTAGCGCACTAAAGGATCCCAGTGTTGTCATCATGTCCAACTGGCTAAAGGTGTGGGAATGTTTTTGTATTAGACTGTGCTGCTACAGTGACACCCAGAATAATGATATCACTGCAGTCACACTGACAACGAGCTATTCATCTGAGCATTTGTCATTTGCACCATTGTGGTTTATTGTAATGTGTAATTCTAAAAGAAAAACACATTTTTTCTGTTCCCATTATGTTCTGATACTCAAATTCCCTGCCATCTCATCATCCTTCGTCCTTCTTTAGATCCGTGGCTCTTTAAAGAGTTGGACCAAGCTGTGGTGTGCCCTAAAGCCTGGAGTTCTTTTGATCTATAAGACCCCCAAAACGGACCACTGGGTGGGCACCATCCTGCTCAGTGCATGCAAGCTGATCGAAAGACCTTCCAAGAAGGACGGCTTCTGCTTCAAGCTCTACCACCCACTGGATAAATCCATCTGGGCTGTCAAGGTCAAACATGTTTGTTAGCTCACTGGCATTTTTATGAACCCAGTATTAACAGATGAATAATAGATGATAAGGAAGACTTCAGTGATCATAGTGAAACTAAGATCTAAATAAAACGATTCACTCAATATGTCAGGGTTCGAAACAGTACCCAAAAGCAGACTGGAGCTGAAAGTTTAGAGGTTTATTAGGACAACAATTACTGGGGGACGAATGAGCAGAGGGGGGTCGGGTTTTGTGGGGAAGGAGAAGTAGGGGAAGCTGGCAGGAGAGGCGAGGTGGAGGAAGATCCAGACGGCCGTGCAGACTGGCAGGGAAGACAGGTAATCCAAGGGGGACAGGGCGGATTTCCTGAGGGCAAAAGACAAAGTCGTGAGTAAAGGCAAACAGGAACACTAACTAAACTAAACTAACTGAGATCAGAGGCTGATGTGAAGCGTACACAGGTAGCACAACAATCCGGCGAGGACTGGAAAGCTGGCCAGGTCTAAAATAGAGTGCGGTGATGAGGGAATGCAGAGCAGGTGCTTGATGGGTGACAGAGAACAGGTGTGCCACAGCCACATTGAGCCGGCGACCACGCCCACCAACTGCAGGAGACATGAAAGAGAAAACAGACAGACAAAAAGCAAAAACCCAC